GCTTGCACAGGCTTTTCCTCCTTCGCAGTGTTTGTCCATCATAACCTGCTCCCCTCTGGAGGCGCCCGCAGAGCCAGAGAGGAGGAATCGTGCCGCAGAGCGCAGGGGGCCCCCTCCGCTGCTGTGTGCCTGCCGTCTAAAGGAGACGTCAGCTACGGGCCAGCCCGCCCGTGTAGACACCCAGGGAAGTCTGCGAGGGGGGGGGCTTTTAACTCGGCACCTTCTTTATTTGCCCCACGACTACATATTGATAACGCAAAATCTGTTCCTTCAAGAAGTGCCCGTTGTAATCCTATCCTATTATTGCAGCAGATCAGGGACTCGGTGCTTCAAGTGCGGAGCCGCTGAACGCCCGGCAGGATTATCCTCTCGGAGCGTAATCCCGACCGGGAGGTCTTGATAAAGGAACGAGTGCGCTTCCCACAAACAGCTCCCATCGCCTGTCACCAAGGTGGCGGGCGAACTCTGTGCTATAGGCTTAAACGTGTCGCTGCTGCTGGATTCTGTGCAGGGGATTTTTTTTTTTTAATTTAATTTTATTGCTTTCGGTGTTACAGATGTCCCTCTGCAGGGGATTTTTGTTTTCTATTTCACCATGTTCATCAAAGTCAGATTTTATCATATTGGTGACAGGTTAAGACCAGAGGACATTATAATAAAAATGGGCACCCAACCCTGGGCCTACTAAATTTATAGTTTGTAAGTGTGGTTTGCAAAACACCATGAACGAAAGACGGGTCCGTGTGCAAGAGCCCACTCCCCGGGCGCTGAAGCCGAGGCTCCTGCCAGCATCCCCTTTGTTCAAAGACCCGGCACTTCGCAGCCGCGACTGTGGCCACCTTGCACTGTACATTATTAGACTAAAAACCCCGATTTCCTAAGTGACTGCTGCTAAAATAAATCCGTAAGAGCTGTCAAAACGACCTCGTGCATGTCAACAAGTAGAGCTCCTCAAGAGGAGTTTTATATCTGTGCTATCATCTGCTGGGAACACTTGGTTAAAAGACAGGGAAAGACAGTGGCCAAAAGCGATGTCGGTCAGTGTCTGGGAAGCCCCAGGCGCTGAGAGTCCGGGGGAGATCGCTTCTGTGGCCACCAGAGCGGCTTTGCGGCTTCCGTGCCGCACACGCAGTGACCGGCCTTTCGGAAACCGAGGGCCCCGTTCACTGGAAAGAGCCACCCCCGGGCCGCTGCTCAGAACTGCAGGGCCGCAGGAGGGAGCCCGAGGAAATGCGGACAGGGCGCCTGGGGGGGCACATTGCGAGGCGAACAGAGGGAGGGAGGGCGCCGCTCGGCCTCACAGAACAGATTAAGACGTGGGTGTGTTTCGCCAACCACGCGGGGAGGCCCACGGGGCAGAGGGAAGCCAGCGTGGCTGTGGGCAGCCGACGGCCTTCCCGGGCTTGAGGGCGAAGCCAAGGAGGGGACACACAGCTCCGTTCTTCCCGGGGACTCCCCGCGCCGCCCGCCGTTTCACCCGCAGAAGCGGGGACGCGGGCCGGCCTTGCCTCTGCTGCTGGGAGGGCACTGCCAGGGGCAACCCTCGAGCTCCTGTACACGCAAGGGCCACGGCACGCACAGAACATGGACGCCTGAGGCTGGAAACATACGTCTCCCACGACTGAACCGGGCTCCCCTCACCTATCGGTCCCACTCTGGATCCGCTAAGTTCAGTGGCCAACGGCCGTGAGTTGCTCCTGGCACCCCCGGTGCCCCGGGGCCGCCCGCTGTCTCTCAGCAAGTTCGCCCCGGGCCTGCCCTTCAGCTCCGTCCCGCTCCTCCGACTGGGCTCCTGCTGCGAGCTTCGCGCTCCCTCTCCCGCCACGTGGCCCCGCGGCCCCGCCCCGCGCCCAGCCACCCTTCCTTCCCACGCGCGGGGCCCCAGCAGAAGAAGCCACTGAAATCCTGTGTCCACTCACTGGAGGCCCCTGGGGCCTGAATGTGTGGACACCGCTCTCCAGGGTCCGCCCGACCCGCCTGCCTCCGCCCGCTCAACGCGCTCACAGCGGGACCCCCCACTCCTCGCTCTGTTTATTTTGCTGGGTTTCCCTCCTGTAATTTCTTCAAGTGTGTCATGTCCTCCCCGCACTGAGGCCTCTCAGCTGCTGTTCCCTTTTCAGGGGCGACCGTCCCTCCTGCGCAGCGCGCCCGGCTCCCGGGCGAGGCAGAGGCCGGCTTGGGAAGGGCGCAGCCGTCTCCACCTCCAGGGTGACGGAGTCATCCTCGGTTCTGGAAGGTGGGAGTGGTGGGAAATTAAACAGATTAGATTTATGAGTTCGCAAGCCCGCTTTTCCCCAAGTTTCATCGACTCCCCATTCTTTATGATGCTCCAGGGCTCCCTTTTTAATGGGTTTATGGAGGGCCCGCGCGGCCCGCGGCCATAAATTGTGTGTGAGGCACTATTCCTCGAAAATTAGTTCGGTGGATGTCCTAATATTTTATGTTCCGGGGTGTGTGCGGGAAAACAGTTTAGGGAGCCGCACGTCTGGAGCAGTTTCCCCAGTCAAGCATGCTGATTACCTCTTTGCCTGAAATAAATGGTAACTGATTTTATTTCTCTGAGAGAATCCAATTTCATTCCTTGAATATACACATAAACTCCGAGGAAGATGAATTTGATTTAAGTAGAAATGCGCATTTAGCCCCACTTCACTGTGTAAATGTTGACACATCTCATCAGCAAACAAAGTAAACGGCACAGTTCAGGTTCAAGAGGTAATTTTACTACAACCTCCATCCCCTCGTTCCCCGAAAGGTTAACTGGGAAGAGCACAAGCACGTGTATTAGCTTAAAATCTCGTGTTTCAAAATGTAAGGTGAGCTCGGAAGACATATACCTTATTCAACATTAAGTATTAATAAAACAGACTTTGCAACAGCTTGTGGAAGAAACTCCGTAACACGGGATGGATTTATTTTGAAGGTGACGAAAGGAAACCCGCCAACGAAGGCGCGACGGGACGCCTTGCGTCCATTCCGTGCTCACTAACACATTTAAAGCAGGTCTCTAGGAACAGCTGCTCTGTCCTGGACTCCATTTCCTCCTGCCCTAGACACAGACGGCAGTGACTCTGCTTTTTCCTTCCCGGTGCAGAATCGCCAGTGTTTCCTTTCCCCTAGATGATTCACTTTATTATAATATCCCCCAGGTTTAAAAAGCAAAACTCCTCTGAATCCTTATGTTTTCCAAAAAACACAAAAAATTATTATGCCTATCGTGGTTTCCTAATTAAAAAGTTTATGCATTAAAACAAACGTTAATGGTGATGTTTAGAGCAAAAACGCCTATTTATTTGACTAATAAGTAAATTTTATAAGCTGGTTGGAAATGAACTTGGAAACTGATTTCCCCTGTCCTGAATACAGCCTAACAATGGCCGGTCTGGGGTTTAAGATCCGAAAGCCATTAAGAACCTTGCGTTCTTTCTTACTAGTTTTGCATAATTTGACCTCAGATGGCTAAATGTGAGATACTTTCAGATGACTATGTCTACTTTCTTGCATTATAATATCAGCAGGGATTAATAACTGCACCCGACGTGCCAGGGACTTGAACTGCGCTCGCTCGCGTAACCCTCGCCCGCGGCGCCGACGGCCTGGCGAACGGAGCACCGGGGAACTGAGGGGATGTCAAATGGCCGGGGTCACACGGTTCTGCCGCGTGAATTCTGAACCAGAACAATCTTTCCCAGGGTTTAGAATCGGAGCTCACCACCACCGCGTCTGTCCTCCGCTGAATGACTCTCGGAAAGACTCGACCTAAAACGCTTTTCGGGTAGAATTTGTTCTAACGCATGTGCTGAAACACTGACGTCTGTCTTCTTTTTGTTATTCCGCTTAAAAGCTGGTTTTGTCGTTTCATTTCACCGCTGTAACTCGAAAGGGTTTTCTCGACATGCATATTTCAAACATTATTACCCTTGAGGGTTTAGATACTTTTTTTTGAGGAAATACAGTTGCTGTGCATTGTGCAGAATCCGTTTACTGACAAAAGGGATTTTTCTGCGGCCGGACCCCAAGCTGCCCTCTCAGGGTAGGGAGCTGAGTGCGTTCCATAACTTCTAATTAATCAATCGTAGATGCTTTTGTGTTGGAAGAAATCCAGTCTGATGTTACAGAGAAGGTGCGAACCGTTTCCTGGTCTCTGCTCCTACTTTCTTCTGGGTCGTGTTCTTAAATCTCTGATTTCTTCGAATGACTCGCCAGCAAAGAATAAGTGGGACTTCCTTCCGGAACAGCACACAGAGGAAGCAAGCGAGCAAAGGGGCAGTCATTTCCGTCACACGGAAAAGTTTCTTTTAAAAACATGTTACACTGGGTTCAGCATTTAAGCATTTTGTCCTGATTGGAACTGACCTTTAAAATACCATTTAGTGCCATTTTGCCTTATGCGTCATCGCTTACCTTCCCCCTACACCACAGCCTGGCCCTAAGAAACGACAGGGAAACGTGCTGAAGGCCCAAGGCTCCCATTTTCAGTTGACCGCGGCGGCTTCGTGAACATATTTTAATAGGTTCTCCATTAGTTAATGTTTGGGAATACTTAGCTACGTGAATACATGCTTTTTTATTGTATTTGTAAGAATATGCTGCCATTTGGTCATTTCAACACTGTGAAAAACATTTCTTTGTTCTTATATTTTATTTATTGATTTTGAGCAAGAGGAAGGAAGGGGAGAGAGAGAGACACTGATTTGTGGCTCCACTTGCTGATGCATCGTTGGCTGATTCTTGTCTGTGCCCGACTGGGGACTGAACCCCACAATCTCGGCGTATCTGGACGATGCTCTAACCCGCTGAGCCCCCCAGCGGGGCTGTGATAAAACCAGAGAGCTACAAAGGTTCTTCTAACCTTAACGCAAGTGAAACCGTCCAGGATGTTACCCTTAAAGGAATAACTAACTGTGCTTCCAATTTTCCTTATTAGGCGAAAACCCTAGATACTTTTTAAAAAATTAAATACATTAAAAAACAACATTCATGTTATTTTTTCAACTTAGGAAATTAAGTTATTCATGCTGTTCGTGGCGTGCGTGAGCTCAGCCTTTACCCCGGAACCCGTCTGCATTTCATCTGCGAGGATTAACGTCTGTCAAAGGGGCGTCGCTGCAGGATCACAGTGCTCGCGTCCCCGCCGGGCCCGAGGGCAGGACAGCATCTGTGTGCGCGTTTGCTCATGAAGCGGCCTCAGTATCACTGCCCCACTTCAAAGGGCTCTTTTCTGGGCCTCGCTCTTCCTCTCAATCTCTCTCTCGCAGCTATCGGTCCAAACCAGGAGGTGAGGGTCAATTTTAAGCCATTTTGGAGGTTAGCTGACTTTTTCATCTTAAACCCAGAAATCCAATTTAGGGCTTAATCCTTGTGTAGGATAATAAATGATTCCACTCTCATTTGGTTTTTGAAACAACTATAGGAGGATTTGAATGAACCGAACGCCCTCCAGGGGGAGAGCCCGAGCTCTGGTCCTCCGTGAACGTCTCTTACGCAGGATTCGGGTTTCGCACGGTAAGTTACTCTCCCGTTTTTATCAACCAGAGTCATGTGTCCTGGACGGTGACAGAAGCCAGACTGTAGAGCTGATACGGAACTTACGGGTTTCCTTATTTTATGGAATAATGTGATTTTAAAAGCAAAAAATTATAGCTTGAGCAGCAGCGCAGGTTTTATAGACCAGGAAGGTCTTATTGGGACCCTGGCTTATGTCCAAACTTGACCAGCTCTGTTGACCCAGAAAAGACACTGACGTTTTCTAAGTCTCCGTTTCTGTCCGGTAGGACAGGCTTGACGTGCCACCTGCATCTGATGCTTATGGAGGGAGGGCTGAAGGAGGGGGGCATTTAAAGTCGAGACGCAGCGGATGACAGAGTAACTGCTCAACAAATATAAACGTATGTCTGTTCTCAAGTCCCGAAGTAGAACCACCTTTTAGGTGCTCGGAAGTCAGTACCTCGCTGCATTGGGTGCCGCGGCTCAATTTCGTGTAAGTGCTCGGGAGAGAGAGCCAGTGAACTTCCCTGGGCTTCCCCCGTCCCTCCCACCTGCTGACACACCCACAGCTGCCCTAAGCCCCCCACCCGCTGACACTCACCCACCAGAAACACTGAGGACTGGTTCCCTGAGCCTGTCTGAGTGGGAAATGCCCGCTCAGAAGCAAGCCTGGGTTCTTAGGATTCTCTCTTTTTATTCTGCAATATTTCCTCAGGCTGAAGCAATTTCCCCCAGGACTACGTTGCCTGCAAATTTATATCCAAGTCAGCATTTCCCTCTGCTTTTAGATTCTGGCCTTTTCTCTGAAGTCAAATCCTAGGGCCTTGAAATCAAGGTCAAAAGATAACAACAGACCCCACCCCACCCCTGTCTCTCTGATCTATTTATCTCTTTACTTATGCTCAGTTCTTTCAATCACCCACCTCATGACCAAGAAGGTCCACTGATACCACGGAAATACAAAGGACCTTAGGAGACTGCTGTGAACAACCCCACACCACCTAGAAGAAATGGAGAAAGTCCTCGGAACAATTTTCTGAGACTGAATCATGCAGAAATAGAAAATCTGAATAGCCTGGTTATAAGAAGATTAAATTAAGTCTGAAAATTTAACTCAATCTGATAATCCTCCCAACAAACAGAAGTCCAGGGCCAGGTGGTTTCACTGGTGAATTCTACCCGGCGCTCAAAGAAGATCCAGGACCTGTCCTCAAGCCATCCCGAAACACTGAAGGGGAGGGAACGCTTCCAAACTTACTTCATGAGGCCAGCGTCACCCTGAGGCCCAAACCAGACAAAGACACCACAGAAAAGAAAGCTATAGGCCAATACCCCCGATGAACACAGATGCAGAAATCCTCAACAAAACATCAGCAACAGGATGAATTCGTTTGGCTAAGTGTTTAAGGCACGGCCACATCCTTACTTTGCTTTGTGCTGGGTGGAGCCAGTCGTGAAGTCGTGCAACGGTCTCTCCTGTTGTTCCTTTGCTGTCACTGACTGTTTGAAACGTCGCCCCGAGTAGCCCAGATCCGACGTGACTTCCCTGTCCCGACCCGGCCAAGCAGATAACAGATCCTGACATTCCGACGCTCAATGCTGGGCTCTAACAAGCCGGTTTGGAAACCTAGACAGCGGGCCTCGCGGGGTGAAGACGGAGGCTTCCAACAACCGCATTTCGCGGGTCGATTGCGCTCGCGTTTTGTCTGCAGAATTCAATTTCAATAAAATTGATTCTTTAACAAAAAACACTCCAGACGCTGATAGGATGTTTACAAGAAACCTTCAAATTTTCAACCATTGGGAAGGCAGAGGGACAGACAGCTCCAAATTTTAATAAAAACCTAAGCTGTGGGCGAAGACCAAATGGGGTGGGTGCGGAAAGCGAAGGTACCCGAGGAGCCTGTTGCTCCTTAAGAGAGTCACCGAAGGAAATCGATAACTTTGCGCTTCAGATGCTGAATAAAGATGCTACTTTCCTGGGTGGCTTTATAAGAGGAAAGGCCTGAGGTCCCTGAAAGGCCTCAAGCGCTGCTCGCCGTTCGTACGCGGCTTTTCTCTCTGCACTGAGGACGTCTCTCGTAACGCTGATTTACAGACGCACTTAAAAGGGGCAGCTGGAAAGGGCGCTCTTGGGGGTGGGTGTCCCCCGTGGGAGGAGCAGTCACGGGGAGACCTTCCGCTAAGCTTCCCGGTGTCGGAGACGCAGGGGTGTCGACCTGAGTGTTCGGGGGGCGGGGCTGCCGTCCGGGGGCTGCCGCTTTCCGCCCGCTCGGTTCTGCTCCCCTCGCACTTTCTAAACAGCTTTGCTGAGGCGAACACTTTTCATAGACGCCCGTGCTCGAGTCAGCGGTGCCCAGAACGGCGCACGGACTGACGGAGCGGGAACTGCTCTCGTGTGGCCGTCGGTCACTCAAGAGAGAGAGGTAAAAAGTCTAAGCTCCAGCAAGGCAGATAAAAAAGACAGTATTTTTAGTGAAACGTTAATATAACAGATGAACTTTTCTGGCAGTAAATTATAGGCTTGTTTTTTTGCTAAGAGCCCTTCAAAACAATTTGGCTTGCCAGAGAATCATCACAGTCCACAGACTCAGGCCCCATACAGCCCAACCCGTTCACGTGTCGGCTGTTTCCATGCGTCCGTCATAGGGGAACGACTGCTATGTGGATATTTTTTCTGAAAGATTATTTGTGTGAAAAAGGAAAGTAAGAACGTCGCCGTAAATACCTGTCCCCTTTGCCGATGGATTACTTCTGCCATCGCCCTTTGCTCTGTGAGAGCCAGGAGAGGGGTTTGAGACCAAACGTCTCTCAAGGGTGGGGAGCGTGAAGATACTTTATTTGTAGTTAAAACCAATTCTTCACTTAATTCTTCATTTTGAACAATTGATAACTATTTGTCAAAGGAACTGACTGGCCAAAAGCTGGGGATAGGGGCACAGTAGACCCTGAGCAACACGGGTCGGGGCGCTGACCCTCACGCAGTGGAAAATCTGTGGAGATCCGCTGACTCCCTGAAACTTTAGTCGGCCCGCGTTATCTGCAGGGTACTGGTCCAGGACGCCCTCGGGCACCCAAACCCGCAGATGCTCCTGCATCCGTCTGCCTGTCTGCCTGTCTGTCAGGGCCCCTGATGTCCAGGAACGCAGCCGCCCTGAAGCCTTCAGGGTTACTAGTCACCCGTTTACGCGAAGCACCTGTCAACCTCGAATCTAAAGGCATGAGCGGCCCTCAAAGAAAGTCACGGGGGGCGAATATCAACTTCGCCATCAAAAAAGCGTCCCACGGGCCTTTCATGCCGGGGCCTCGGGCCCATGACCATCTTCCCCGCGTGAGTGTAGAAACTTGCCCCTGCGCCAGGTTCCGCATCCGTGACATGAGCATCCTCACGTCGTCCTCACCTGGCTGCTGAATCGCAGAGAAGCCCCTGGTTCCTTCGGGCCCCCCAGACTCTGCGCCCTTAGAGCGCCATGCGGGCGAGATCGTGCACCGCCTGCCTTCAGCTATGGACCTGGCGTCCGCAGGCGCTCAAGTATCTGCCGAACAAATAAACGGGTGAATGAAAGCCTGGCACCCACGGGGTCGGGAGAGAGACACCGTCCCAGCGCCCGTGGACATTACAGCTCGGGATGTGTTAATAAAATGAGGCGACACATTTAAGCGGCAGCCTGGGAGAAACATAATGGACCTGCCCGCGCCGAGCACAGCACGTCGTTTCTGAGAAATTATTTCCCTCTAAAATCAAACACGCCTCTATCAACCGTCTCGGCAGCAGCTGAAACGGGACTTTCTAACGCCCTGGGAGCCAAGCCCGGCCGCCCGTGTCTGAGAAATTCAAACCAGGAAAAGCCGCCGGCCAAGGGCTGGGCCTAGATGGTGCAGAAGCAGGGTAATGATTCGTTTGGTTCAACCTGAAACTCGGCCGGGTCAGGGGTTTCATATATGTGGGGGGTTAATAGATGATAGATAGATAGATAGATATAGATATAGATAGATAGATGGCATATACTATACTATCCACATATATGTGATTCTTGTGCTTTTAAAAGTATAAATAGATTATACATATATATAATCTGAGTTACTTTTTTAAACTGCTAACTCTTTTATCCAGTTGTATGAATGATACAACTGAAACTAGTGTTTTCCTTCTGTGAATTATGTGTGTGCCTGGTGTTGGTAAAAGCATTATTTTGACAGTGTTTTCTATTTTATTTTCTGAAGTTATGATAGAAAATACGTTTTCTAATTTCCTTGCTTGAGTTATATTACCTCGATCTAAATATTCCTGATTCATGATAAGAAAGGCGAAAAAATAACACTTAGGGATCATAATAAAATAAAACACGGCCACTACATAAGAATATATTTTTGAAGCGATGAAAATTAAAACGTAAAACTCCCATTAACATTAATGGAAATGTCACATTCACCGCCAAGAAGTCTGCACTGTAATTAATGTTGATCTCTTTTATTGTTGAAGCTGATTCTCTAAACCGTGACAGATTTTCCGACTGAAATGTGGTTTTTTTCCAGCAGAAAATATTTTACGCACGGTCACTTGCAGAGTATTATCGTTTGACCTGAAACATACATGTTCCCATTGGGAGGATTTTACTGATGCGGCAGAAAAGGCCCCGGGTGGGCCGGGGTCACACGCGTGACCACGGCGGACGCTCCGCCGGAGACCAGGGCCCGCGGGTCGGGGCCCCGCTCCTCCCGCCCGAGAGGGGCCCGCACCAGGCTGCCTTTCCCGGTGTTCCCCAGCGTTTGTGTGGCACCGTTTTTCCAGAGATCGGGCAAGAAACACTGTCATCACCTACTTCAGACCCCAGGGAGCTCAATGCCGGGGTCGAACATTTTCAGACTTTACTTTGTTCTGTTTAGGTGTTTAAATGTGAACAATGATGCGAACGGGAAACTCGGCTGCGTTCTGCTGACGTGGGGGCCGCCCCCTCCAACCTGGTCTGTTTCTGAACCGACGGAGATGAGAAGGACTCCGTCCCCGTCGTCCTCAGCGATTCGACAGCTGAAGGAACGTTTCCGAAGGTCCTGTTTTTCTTGCAGGGGAACTAGAATATTTACGCTGTAAGTACTATGAAGTCAAGACCACTCTAAAAATGTCTCCGTTACGAAAGCCCGTGATGTTACTGACAAAACGTTAGAGAGACGGCCGAGGAAGGTCATTCCCCGGGTTTCAGTGGTGCGACACACAATCCAGAAATTACACAACGTTTTAAAGGACCGGCTGCCCGCTGGTTGCTGTCCAGCTGTTGAGGGCAGAGCCTGGGGCACTTGCCTGTGTCCCTACGTCACGGCCCAGTGGAGCCGGCAAGAGCCGGTATTCAGTAAATATTTATAAAATCAATTCATGGTTCAAGCTTTAAACGTGGACTTTTCGACCCACCTGGAAAAGCGACCGCGTACTCTTTGGAAAGCCTGGAAGAGAACCTAGAGGAGGGAGAATGTCTGGTGGCTGAAGATGTTTTTCTTAAGGGACGAACAGTGTTGGAAAAGTCTACAGTCGCCGCTGGTTTCGGCCCCCTTAGCGGTTCCTGAAAAACCTTAGAGAGCTGCGACACTGACGGACATTAAGGACTGGCCAGCCTCCTTGACGGCAACCGGGAAATCACAGTGGTTATCCCGGCCCCGCGTCAATGACTCGGAGAGGCTGCCCTTCAAGGGGAGCCGAACGCCGGCAGGCGGGTGAGCGAACGGGTCGAGACACCTCCGTAAACAAGTCAGAGGACAGATTTGAAACCACACGAGGGGCCAACCTAAGGAAACGCTGCACCCCGGGAACCCCCCCTTGGTCTGAGTAAACCTGCGAGGCAGCGGAGAAGTGGGTGGCTCTGAGACTCTGAAGGAGGTCGGCTGGTTCGGCCCAGCGCACTTCCACGGTAATGTTTTGCATTTTCCTTGCAGGTAGAAAGGCACTTCCTTCGCTCCAGAGAAATAAAACTACGTTTCCGTGTCTCGGCGTGTTTCTGGCCGTTACGGCCGAGGACTTCCAGCCGTTGAACAGGATCCCACCGCACGTCTTCTGCAATCTGTAACCGCCCCGCCACGAGCAAGCTCATGCTGGGCCCCTCGGGAAAGTCCTGAAGAGGGAGTCAGATCCGGTCTCTGGGTGGCCCTTGGCCGACGTCCGTCATGACCGTTTCCCTAGCAGGGGGACAGGAAAGGCTCTCGGTCAGCGAGAGCAGCTGCACAGAGAGCCCGAGGCTGGGGCCGGAGCCAGGGAAGCGTGTTCTTCACGGGCCCGGAGGCCCGGAGGCCCAGGTCCAGGTCCAGGTGCGGGGCTGGTGTCACTCCAGGGCACCCGCGCTCTCGGCGTGGTCACTGGGACGCCCATGCAAGAGGGTCAGACGGGGCGGAGTCTAACCCGTCCTCGGGGGTCATTTTTTATTTCAACCAAAGGATGCTGCTAAGAGTCAAAGGAAAGACGGCCCAACTGAGCTGGACGGACGCTGGCTTCCGAGGGGTCGGCACGTGTCCCCGTCTGGAGCGGCCACCGCGTCCGTAGGAGGTTCACGCACTTCTACCAGGTACAGAGCGGGGACGACACTCTCCTCCAAGTGGACTCGGGGCAACCGGTTTGTGGTGTTAGAAACAATACTCCCGTCCTAACGAGTGACTAGTGGAAAATTCTGTTACGTATACAAATTTCAGCAGGTGTGTGGTTTAATTAAATTATGGATTTTTTTTTTTAAAATGGTACAAGTGTTACAATACTGCCTGCCTGAGAGCCACACGGTGATTAAGTGACGTTCCAGGGAGCTCTGTTTGAAAAGAAATTCATTGTCACGTGCCCACTCCTTCTTTATGGAACTGTCTACCTGACATTTTACATTTACAAACATCGTAAGCATAGTGCAATTAAATTTCAGAAAATAACAAAATGATGAAAAATAGTGAGAGATGGAAATTTAAAGTACCGAGACGTTACAGATATATTCACACGGGAGTGCTATCTCTTCCGTTGGTAATCAATTAACAATCTGGACACATTAGACGTGCATTTAAAATAATTAATTCTGTGTTTCCCCATGTGAACGAGGCTGGCTGGAGACAGACAATCGTATTAGGATTAGATTAGGTAGGCGTTCCCCGTGAAAACAGCCCTGTTCTCCAACCCGCAAACCCAAACAAGCAATCTCTATAGTTCCCTGAGTGTCATTAAACTACCCAATAAATTATTAAGATTTGTTAAAGCAAAATAGACACAGCTGCAGCTCTGTCAACAGAACAGATGGTCAATAGTGAATTTTCAAATAATCATTTCCTAAATCGACAAGAAGAGTCAGTTGGACATTTGGCAAACAGAACCATACGACCCTGTGTGAAGAGATCCATTCAAGTCATCGGCGTGAAAATCCACATTCATTTCTCTGTTAAGAAAGTCAGAATAGCCAAACTAGCGTGTGCATGTTAATGTATTTTTTAAACGTTTGTTGGGGTCATAACATGTTCTATTAATATGAATTTTAATAAATAAGAATCCATTATACCTGAACCTGTCTGGTGATCCCTTTTATGTCTGCAGTATTATAGTTTATACCATTTTGCACATATAAAAAGCATGAAATAAAACATATAAATGTTTTCAATGATAAGCAATCCTTACTCATTCCAAGTTTAAAAAATTAGATATTTTCACGGAGTTATAGTGACACTGAATTCAAGACAATGTTTTTCACGTGCGGCATGAAAAATAAAATAGGATCTGAAATGCAATTTAATTTCTCTCTGAAACATAAGAGGTTTCAGGGTGAGGTTAAAAACCAGAGAAACAAAGAGAAAACAGGTTTACCTGCTCATTATGAAAACGTGTCTTACTGGCTACGCCTACCAATTATTACGACTTCGTCAAAGCCCTAGAAACATCTTCCTTTTTTTTAATTTTTTCGAGTAGTTCCAGGTTCATAGCAAAATCGAGAGGGAGGCACCGCGATTCCCCACAGCCTCCTGCCACCCATTCGTGGCCTCACCAGAGGGCACCTTGGTTAATTGCTGAACCTGCATCGACACGTCGCTGTCACCCAGAGCCCCTGGGTCACGTGGCACTGACTGTCCGTGCTGCACATCCTATGGGTTGGGACAAATGTGTAAGGACACGTATGCACCACTGCAAGATCATACAGAGAATTTTCTCTGCCCTGAAAATCCTCCGTGCCCACCCGTTTACCCCTCCCGCCCCGCTCCTGACAGCCACCGATCCTTTTACTTCTCCATAGTTTTGTCTTTTCCAGAACGTTATTCGGTTGGAATCCTTGCAGCCATCGAAAGACAGAACTCACAGGGCAGGTGCCACCCCAGATTCGGGGGGAGGGAGGTAAAACCAAGGGGAACTGTTTGCAGAGGTCACAGCCCTGAGACAGGCCCAGGGATGAGACTTCACGGGAAGGTTACGGAGCCTTCCCCCTCGGCGCGTCTTATGCAGCACCCACGGGTTCCTGATAACATCACACCGGCGGATTATCAGGGAAGCAGCTGCAAGGCAGATTCAAGAGGGGAGACAAGAAAAACAAAGACATGATAAGAATTTAAAGACTTTAGTATCTATAGCTACGAAAAAACCCACATAGCACAACTTTCACCCATCATCAACATACATCCTCACACTAAAGGCCTATTTACCTGAGTTTCTATTATCCAATTGAACATGTTGAGTTTTCAAATTTAAAAAAAATTACACGGCGCGCCGAGAGACAAAGCAGTCATCAGCGTTAGACTGAGATCTGACGCGCATGTTGGAATTAGAGACACGGATTTCGTGTGAACGGCGACGTATAGGAAAGGCCTAACGGAAAAGGCAGACCGCAGGCAGGAGCGGGGCAAGCAGAGGGCCGGAGACCCCGAGCGTCCCGGGAACAGCGGGGATTCCAAGGCAGGGCATAAACGACGACTGTCTCCAGCAGGCTCATTAGACTGCGCACTCCCCCGGGGAGAGGACACACGGACTTAAGGACAGGCCAAGGGAAGCTGCCCAAACTATAACGTGAAGATCGAAAATTAAAAAACAAAATAGAAACAGCAACAACTATGGGACGATATCAAAAGGTGTAGCAGACACGTCCTTGGAAGGCCAGAAGCGAAAGAGAGAGAAAACCACAGAGAAGAACTATTGGCGTTAATAACGTCTTAGAACGACTCCCCGTTGTTCACAGACATCAGGCCACATGTCCTGGACGCTCCGAAAACACCGGGCGTCATCAGCCCCAAAACCAAAGCATCCAGACATTTCCTATTCCAACCAGAAAGCGATGCACAGAGATAAAACCCTGAAGAAAGCGACTCTGGGGGGGAGCCCTCTTTTCCAAGAGCAAGGTACGAGTCACAGGAGACTTATTTTCTTTTCAGAAGCCCTGCAAGGAAAAGGGGAGAATGGAAAAAACAAACAGAAAACCCCCACCAACCTAGAATTCTAAATTCAGTAAAATTACCCCTCACAAATTGAGGCGTAATAAAGACTTTCTCAGACAAAAACTGATGGACTGTGTTTCCCTCAGACCTGCCCTGTAATAAATGTTAAAAGAATTTCTTCGGGCAGGAGGAAAACGAAATAGGTCAGAAACCTGAAATTACATAAACGATAGGTGTTACAGAAGAAACGAGTGAAGTAAAATAAAACACTCTGTTTTTCTTAATCTTAATTAATCTGAAAGATAACTGTATAAATTCATAACAATAGCTCTTTACTGGGTGATAATTTAAAAATAAGTGAAGCAAATGGTGGCAGTGTCACCAGGCGTAGGAGGGGAGGGGAATATTTTGCTAGAAAGTACCTCTGCTACATCTGAACTCACATCGTATTATCTGGAGGTATATGTACATAATTTACCAAATGTACTTTAAACACGAGGATAGCTGAACACTCATTTTGAAAACTGTGGGTCGATAACTCAGGAGATGGGGGGAAATGGAAACATGAAATGTTCAGCTGAAAGCAGAGATGACCCCCCCCCCAATAAAAAGATGAAAAACGAAACTGACACCTGTGTCAACAGTCACTACGTGGGGAGGATCGGACACCCGGGAAACCACCGAGACTGTTCCAGGGCATTAGGAAAAGGCCGGGTTGGCCTGTGCGTCAGACAAGCCCCCTAAACATACGGGCTCCGGCAGGCTCGGGTTGCAGAGGGGGCGATGCCAGCGCCGCTCAGAGGGAGCCTGCGCGCTGCACTGATTTCAGAAAGTCGGCCCTGAGAACACGACGATCGTCAGGGAGGAAGGGGCAATAGTGCCCCTCGCCGCGCCCCTGGCCCCCTGCCTTCTGCTCCGGCATGTCCGTGGCTCTCGGGACCGCCCAGGACAGAGCATCCCCGTGGCTGCTGTTCTATCAGCGCCTTGGGCCGGGCGAGAGCCCAGCGCCGTGACTCCCGGGTCTCTCGCTAACCCAGCCCCGGCCTCCCCTCCCGCTGAGCACGGGGGAGGCGCCCCCACGGCCTCCGCTGCCACCGGAGCACCCCTAAGAACGGGAGCTAGGGTGCCGTTTAAAACGGGCCCACCCAGGGCAAGCGAGCAGGGCCGCAAGGGAGTTTATCTGTAACCGGCGGCCTGGCCTGTTCTCCCGCCGGCCCCACGCGGTGGCCCCGGGAAATTCGCGTGGCCCGTTGGTCTCGGCAGCACCCTCCCTGGCCCCCGCCGCGCCCTTGCGGGAAATCAGGCGTTTGGAGAAGATGTTTTCACTCATCCGTGCTCCAGATTCCTCCTTAGCACGCGAGTCGCCGTCACTCTACCTTCAAAAACGACTGGGTGACCGGAGCGTAATGCAGTGTGCACGTCCTTGTTAAATAAGCCGATGCCCTGATGAGACGCGAGATTCAGATCAACCTCCAAAGCTCCTAAGTTACAGCAGGCCCAGTGGACGCTCTTGCCCACGGAGGGGCGCATCTCCGCTCGAGCGCGTCGTCCACACGGGCGCGTGGTGGCCACACAAGCCACACGGGCGTGCAAACTGCCCGATTCCACCCAAGAGCTGCCTGAGCGCCTGCGGATACACTCCTCGCGCCGATGACGCAGTTTCCCCTCCCGGGTGATTTAACATTCAAGCCGCGCACGTGGGACAGCTGGGCAGGGCTGGTGCGGCGTCCTGTTCCTCGCTCTCGCCCGTATCTGTGCCCTCTCATAGCTGGGAGCCGACAAACGGGCTGGCGAGTGAATGGAATTATTCGCGAGTTCCCGTACTGGGCGCACGGTCCGCGAGCAGCTTAAATCGGTTTTCTGAAGGCGCCGCCGCGATGCCCGTCTGCGCGGAGAGATGGACCTCGCCGGCCATCGCGTGTTGTTTGCCTCTGAAATCAGGGAACGGAAAGGTTGGGAGGGATTTTATGTTGGTGCCTGTTTTTCCAGTTGTGAACGGCTCTGGCAAGTTAGGGATATGCTGCTATTTAATCATAAAAACACGATCCCCTTTTTCCTTTAAAAGAATATACACGTTAAAAAAGTGTTTTGCTGCCCGGCCGGTGTGGCTCAGCGGTTGACCATCAACCCAGGAACCAGGAGAGGTCAGGGTTCGAGTCCTGGTCAGGGCACATGCCCGGGTTGCGGGCTCCGCCCCCAGCAGGGGGTGGGCAGGAGGCAGCCGATCGAAGACTCTCTCTCATTGACGTTTCTCTCTCTCCCTCTCTCTAAAATCAATAAAAATATATATTTTAAATGTTTTACTGTTTTTGGTGGGAAAAGAGCAACAAGTGAAACAAAACTGCACTTCTGCCTGGACGTCTGAGCACAGGGAACACGCTCTTTTCATAGTTGGTGTAATTAACTGCGTATTTGTGCTGCTCCGCATTCTAGACGTGATGTCGGAACAGGGCTCTCCTTGTATTCAGGTTGTACAGCGGTGGTTCAGGTCAATACCCCATTTTTAATCCAGATGCTTTCTTGTGTGATGACAAAGAACAAAAGCTTTCATTTTTGTGTGTATAAATCTGCCTACCAAAAAGTGGAATACAGTATGCAAAGTAGAAAGATTTTTTTATTGCATAAATCTCCTTCAAGGTTAATATTTCATATTTCTATTCACTGATGGCTAATTCTAAAATGAAGACGTTTATTTAGACAATAGTTTCCAAAGGCTAAACGTTTATATTCAGTTGCATGAATTGGGCACTTTTTTCTCCTTAAGCCGTATACAAAAAGCAGGACATAGTATGTGTTTTTTTCCTAAGCAATAGTATATTGTTCAGATAATTGTCACTTTTGGTCATTTTCACTTGAATTTTAATGAGCAAATGAGTATAATTTTGAAGATGTGGCAAAACGCCTCACCGTCTTCTGATCCTCATGCTGAAAATGACTCTGTCTGGGTCTGTCCACTTGGGAATTGATTCAAGAAGTTGAAACGGAGCAACTTAGAAAGACGCGGTTTCATGGGCAAGTATCCAAACGGACTCTTAGAGGAGAGGCCCTGCCACTGAACTCTCCCTTCAATGCTGCACCACGCACGCAAGCCCACCCCGGACAATACTCCAGGCCACGCTCACCACCCTTTCAGGATTTTCTTCCTAACTT